TATTTTACTTATAAATGGACTTAGTTTTTCTGCCAGGAAACATTACATTCACTCTTTTGTTAAAGTTTGTAATTTTAATAACTTTCTTAAACTATACTGGATTTCTACCAAACTTACACAGAAGCTTGTTTATGATCACAAGATAGTACCCAGAAGTAAATTTTGTAAAAATAAAATTCCACTTTTTCCGTATTTTACTCATAAATGGACTTAGATTTTCTGCCAGGAAACAACATATTCACTCTGTGGTTAAAGTTTTCAAAATTTAATAACTTCCTTATACTATTTTGGATTTGTACCAAACTTCGACAGAAGCTTGTTGATGATCAAAGGGTAGTATCATGAAGGAAATTTTGTTAAAATTTTGTACCTGTGTATCTGTATTGTACTTATAAATGGACTTAGTTTTTTGTCGAGCCTGCGAATTTTGTCGCAATAAGCTCGACATAGGGATAGTGATCCGGCGGCGGCGGCGGCGTTAGCTAACTTCTTAAAAGCTTTATATTTTAGAAGGTGGAAGGCCTGGATGCTTCATAATTTGAATATGTATGCCTCATGTTACGAAGTTTCCGTCAGCCACATGTCCCATGTCCTTTACCTCATTTTCATGGTTCAGTGACTACTTGAAAAAAGTTAAGATTTTTTGTAATGTTAAATTCTCTCTTACTATAAGTAATAGGATAACTTTATTTGGTATGTGCGTACCTTGCAAGGTCAGACAGTTTTCACTTGACCTCGACCTCATTTTAGGGATCAGTGAACAAGGTTAGGTTTTGGTGGTCAAGTCCATATCTCAGATACTATAAGCAATAGGTCTAGTATATTGGGTGTATGGAAGGATTGTAAGGTGTACATGTCCAACTGGCAGGTGTCATCTGACCTTGACCTCATTTTCATGGTTCAGTGGTTATAGTTAAGTTTTTATGTTTTGGTCTGTTTTTCTGATACTGTATGCATTATGTCTACTATATTTGGTGTATGGAATGATTGTAAGGTGGACATGTCTAGCTGGCAGGTGTCCTCTGACCTTGACCTCATTTTCATGGTTCAGTGGTCAAAGTTAAGTTTTTGAGTTTTGGTCTTCTTTTTCTAATACTATATGCAATAGGTCAACTATATTTGAAGTACGTTCATATATAATGATTTCTATGTTAGTCGCGCAGGTTTTATTTGACCTTGACGTCATATTCACGGTTCATTGCTCAGTGATAAGTTTTTGTGTTTTGGTCTATTTTTCTTAAACTATAAGCAATAGGTCAACTATATTTGTTGTATGGAAGAATTGTTAGCTGAACATGCCTGCCTTGCATGGTTCATCTGATCTTGACCTCATTTTCATGGTTCATTGGTCAATGTTTAGTTTTCTTGATTAATGTTAAGTTTATGTGACAGTTGTAATAAAGCTTTATATTTAGGACTATCAACATAATATCAATAATTAGTAAAGAAGGTTCAGCGTGTGCACTCTTGTCTTCCAGTTAACATTACATACAGTCTGCAGTTAAAGTTTTTAAAACATTTATTAGATTCATAAACTATCCTGGATTTTTACCAAACTTGGACAGAAGCTTCTTACAATCAAAAGATAGTAATCAAAAGATAGTATCAAGAAGAATATTTTTATTGATTTTTTTCCTCATTTTTGTTAAGCCTGCGATTAACAGCAAAAGTAAGCGAGACACTGGGTTCCGTGGAACCCTTACGAATTTTTTATCTTGTACTACGATTTTGATTCTAGTGTGTGTTTTAATACACTTTATGTTTGTGCATATTTGATAAGAGTTGTGGAACTTGGACCAGGAATGTGATTTATGGATTAAGATGATTGGGTTAAGTTCCATGCACTGTATCTTGTGGACGCTACAAGTTTTAACGGCCATAGTGAAGAAAAGGATGTCTACACATCATCAGGAAGTTTTGTAAATATTGGACAAGTTTTATTGCAGTAGTACTAAATTCATGAGACTGTTTAAGGCTTCAATCCTTTATATTGTTTAATTAGATGCATGCATGCATCTGATTGTGCCAGGAACTGATTGATAGTCAGGAAAATACTGAAAGAAGTTGGATTGAGTTATTGACTTGTATGATAGTTCAAGGCATAGATGTTTGACTGATTGTATAAATATTATTATAATTGTGGTTATTCATTTACTATTAGGAGGGTCATTGATAAATTGGATTGGTCATATATGGTTAATGATTGGTATTGCATTTTTATTTGGGAACTTTAGATTGTATTTTTGCAGGTCATTAGAAAATGATTTGTGAGGGATTTGTGAAGTATTTATCATATGGTTTATGATTGGCATTGCATTTTTATGTGTGAACTTTAGATTGTATTTTTGCAGGTCATTAGAAAATGATTTGTGAGGGATTTTTAGAAAGGTATGTTCATATTAAGTTGTCTTACTGTTGCTTATCCGTAGTTATTTGGAATCATCACTTATATTGCTGCAAGGATAATTATCTATACATGTGGAGGAAAAGCTTCAACAACAATTTATTTAACCATGTTTGAAGATTTATGAACTATTCGTGAAGTACACAACATATATTTACTCCAAATATATTTCAACAATCTACATTTGCTCAAAACCTATATTAACTCAAAATATAGTTCAACAATCTACAAGAAAAACCAAAGTTTATTTCTGATGCCAATTCAAGATTAACTCAATTAACTACATCAGGGCATCACTACTACCTCCCACTCAAGACTTCAACACCATGGATAGCTTTTTCAGGAGAGGGTTGAATGTCGTAGCCAGATAAACATTCCAGTTCCTACTCCCCTTTACTGTACCTCATACATACTACGGAAACAGCCGATAGTATTCCGGAATGAGTTCGGGACCCCCAGCAGAGCAGCTCAGGTGAACAAGAGCATTATTATCTACACTCTTGACTGAACAACACGTGCATTGGTATCCTACCAGAACTTGGTTCCTGTGTGCAGCTTGGCTCCACGGTTTCCTATTTAGGTAAGCTAAATGCATACATGTTGAGTCTTACCTTCGCTACCACAATACTATAAACGACAAATTTATTTTCCATTACCTGAGTGACATAAAAAAAATAATAGTCACTTCATGTCCTGTAACTTGCTGTGTGGATAATTTCGTCAAATATATTTACACGACCAACAAGAAAGAAAATTGTTAGAGATAAATCATTAAAGTGTTTAAAGTTGCAGAAAATTTACCTACTTTCCCTTCGTTCACTCATAACAAATAATTTACATTAAGAAAACCATCAACATAGTGAAGATTACTTTCCGGCGCATGTCTAAGTAAGGTTGCTTTTGACAGCTAAACAAAATCATTGAACTTTAACTTATCCTTAATGTATTCGTAATTTACTGAACGATATGCACTTAACAACTTAACAAAATTTTTCAATAGGTAATGAAAAATAAATTTGTCGTTTACACTATGAAGAGTCCAATTATACGGTTTCTACAATAAATACAAAGTATTGTACGGAATTTATAACTGAGTTAGGAAAGTGATGCTTTTGAAATATGAAATTATGAATTGAGTTAATAATGAATTGTATTGTATTACTACAACTGTTGTAAAAGATTAAGCACATTTTTTGTATGAATTACTTTTTTCAACTGACTAATAAGGGGGAACAACTCATATAACTTTACTTTAGTATGCTAAAAAAGAGATTACTTTTGTTTCCTTTCATTGAAAACACAAAATTCAACCTCTGATAATAAATGAGATGTAATGCTAGGCACCCTTTTTAACTCAGTGCTATTTACATGATAATATGATTTTTGTTTGTACAATATGTACAAAAAAACTTAACAAATAAAACAAAGAAAACACAGAAAGACAAGCGATTACAATTATCCATTTCCTAGGACTTTCTGTTCCTTCGTTAGCTGTAAAAAAATATTATCAGTACTTAGTTTAACTTATTATAAAAGCTTTATTTTGGAATGAATGCTATATTTTTTATTTTATTTCTTTTCTCCAACTTACATAAACTTTATTGATATGTAAATTAAATGATTTTGTTATTTCATTCAAATTCAAATCTTTAAAATTAACACTTACAATGGGCCATTCCAGTTAATGTCTGATAAAGGGGGATAGATGGTCCTTTCTGAGGGGTGTAAAATTTTTACATCTTAGGGGTTGTAATTTTTGTTTTTTTTTCATCCGACACGTACAATTATACGCTAAAAACTTCTAAGGGTCTTGCAGCAGTAAATAGTTTGCAAAGTAAAAATAATTACATCTTAGGGGTTACAAAAATGCCTATGTCAGATCTTAGGGGTGCTTTGGTATCTAGACAGTTTCGTATCATACATTTATCTGGTATTTTATTTATGACTGAATTGAATTTTGTCCACAATACAGTGAATAGATATTTATACAAAAAAAATGTTTTCCCGCCAATCAATGTATTATTACATTTGTTAAAACTCATTATAGCAAAAAATTCAGGGATGGAAGGTATCTTCTGACAGGTTGAAATGTCAGCAAAATTCTGATGGGTATAGCCCTTGCAGTAAAAAATTCTGATAGGTAAATTTTTCCCATGAAAACCCATCCACCCAATATGAACAGAAACTCTGATAGGTATTAATTTTTAGATCTGATAGGTAGTTTTTCATGATGTTTTTTCTGATACCTATAAAAAAAATTAATTCTCCCCATTCATCCCCACCTGTCAGAAATTAACTGGAATGGCCCAATATAATCCATTGATGTGAATGGTGTTTCCTTCTTCTTTTTCAAGCTCTTTCACTCCAAATTAAATAAAAAAGAATATATGATATCAAACACTCACATTTTTCTTTTTCTCTTGTATCTTGTTTTACATGTAAGAAGTGTGGTTATGACATACTTTATATTTTCTTTATTGTCTTTACTTAAATATATGAAAAATATACACTTATCTTACCTAGTGAAATTTTTTCTGTGGATGTTACTTCTTCTGCTCTGGAAGTGTATGTTTCAATGCTTGTGTCCTGAAAAAGTTAGTCATAACAATGAGTAGTAAACATTGATTATTGTCTTAACTGTTTATTTTTTTCTTTTTAGAATCAAGTTATTGATTTAACATTTAATAATGAGCAGGAGCCTATGGAGGTGGAAAATAATGCTGCATATGGAAGCAGTAGTAGTAAACAAAAGATGTAAGCATAACTCTTTTATAAATATAATCCTTTATATTACAATGATCGTAATCAAAATATATTGTTTAACATGAGTAAATGTGATTTATAGCTAATGAAATAAGGATTTTTCAAAGCTTATAAAACAAATTTATGACATCGATCAATTCCTTTACATAGACATATGTCTTTGAAATATAAAACACTATGTTAATTTCCATAAAAAAGGAGATAATTATTTCAACATTTTCTATGTATTTACGTGTACATTATTTTCTTATCAGGACATATCATTAGAAAAAGAAATAGAAGAAGCGAGTGAGATATATCTCAATGTGAGTATATATATATATTTTTCAACAATAATTAAATTTTTATCAATAATGGAAATCAAAATATATATCACGTGGTTAATTTCTGTATATGGTCACATGATTAACATTTCCTAATAAGGTATACAAAAATATCATATGCTTTCCTTACATGTCATATAATTAACTTCCTAATATGGTAATCATGCTAACCATTCAACTATTTTTTCAATTGTAAAATTTAATCAAACACGATGTACTTACATACGATGAGCATTCTTCCCCGTTTACCACTATAATTTTCCCTTCCACTGTGTCACATAGCTCTTTATTTGACAACGATAGTTCAAACACACAAGTGCCTTTAACGTGGACATTTTGAATCTGCTCGCGTTTCATAATATAGTTCATTAACACTCTGTTGATAGAAGGATCTATCTCTCCACTAAAGAATTCAACACCATCACCTCGACAATCCATTATATCTTCACTTCTATAGCATTCTGCTGTATTTGCAACACTTCCCACACGGGTTATTGATAATAAACAACACACGACAACAAAAACAAGGCGATCATCTTCAATTTCTATAATTACAGTGTGAAGAGGTTACGTCACGTGGATGAATAAAGGAAAGCTTTTATTATCTTTACTTGATTAAAAGAACGATTTTTTTCTTATATTTTTTGAAAGAAAAAAAATTTCATCATATTTTGTTTGTTTTCTTATCAAATAATTAATTATTATTTATTACTAAAAATGAATACTTAATTACAATTGTATATATGTTTTAGGAACCGATGGAAGTGGATTTTGTGGACACGTTGTTGGACGATCAAAAAGGTTATTTTAAGAAGAAAAAAACAAGAAGTAGCGGGGAGAAATGAGGAGAAAGAAGAAACTATGTTAAATAAATGTTTATCAAATGAAAGGTGTTATTATTTTTTGTTTAAAGAAACTATATATAGATGAGACAACAAGGTATTTTATTTTTAAACAAACTAATCGAGAAAAGAAAGAAAATATCAAGAATTTACAAAGAAAAAGAAAGAAAAACTTTTTTTATTTTAACTATCCTTATCTCGACTAGTTTGAAAGAAAATAAAGTTAGCGGTTCGTAAATATTTCTTCTTTCGTTCAATCTGTGATGTAGAGTATTTCCTGTAAAATTAAATATAGTCTCTCTCTTTCCGTTACAATTAATTCCATTTAATCAAACAAAGGATCCGCTAATTTTGTCTGAAATCAAATGGATTTGAATTATCTGTATATTAATGTTATCCTCGTTTAAACTTCTCCACCTTATTATGTGTCTACTGTAACCTATCTTCAGATAACCTTATACTTCGCCACTCATTGTCATTAACATCTGTGTACCAGATAAAATAACCCAGCCGTATACATTCTATGTCGAATCTAACCAAATCTGATGTAACAACCGACACAGTTAAATAAAATTAAAGATCTTACCGATGGTTCATTTGTCTTGACTTTCTTGCTTTGACCCGCCTGATTGTCTCCTTCACTCTTTCGCTTTATTTTAACATGTTCGTTTGCTAATTTTATAACACAATGAGCTAACTTGACCAAGGCATTAGTGTCCAGTGACTCTTTTAGAATTACTTCTATTCTTTCAATGTCAACATCGAAACTTTTTGTTATAGATTTAATGAGATCGTCACGATCAAGTGTATCTAAGGATTCTTCAGTAAATCCATGTAACTCTTCCGCATGTACAGAATTTTGAAACTTTATGATAACTTCCATTAACATATCCGAATTAAACTTAATGTCACTAATGAGTTTCATCTTGATAACAGATCACTAAAAATTAGCACGCTGATATTACGGCACAGCCTCTGAGCCAAACTGATGTCCAACTAAGATAATCTTATCATTATATATGCCTATGGTCAACCAATGAGAATAGTTGTTAACCCTTCACAATTTTTTAGGACGGGTAGTATTTTTTATTCTTTGTCAGTTCAATGAACTAGTCCTCATTCATGCCATTGCGAAATAAGTCATTCACATTATCTTCAAGGGTTTCATCTATCTTGGCACCTAGAGTTTCACGAGTTTTAACTCTTTTAGTCATTGAAGCAAATTTATTGTCATCAGCCTTCGACTTCCTAGGCGGGGCGTCGACTTGGTCATGTTCTTCATCATAATCATAGTTTTAATTATCTTAACCAACTTGAGTATCATCGTACTCAATTCTAAGTATTGTCTTAGCTTTGTCTCGCTTCGAGAGATTCAGTAGGTATACCCAATAACACATGGATATGCCCTTGCACTCATCAACGTTATCGAGTTGTCACTGCCGTGATGTTAGGTTATATAATTATGACAAGAACTATTTGTTCTCGTCCTGAACATGCATGAAATATTTGTAACTGGACGTTAAGCAACCAACAATCAATCAATCTTGGCGTCACTGATGAATCTTATGCAGACGAAGCGCGCGTCTGGCGTATAAAATTTTAACCCTGGTAACCTTTGATAACTAATTCTAATGGTAGATACAAATATACATACACCGGGCGTCTGTCTGTCCGTGTGTCGTTCCTTCTGGTCTCTTTAGCACTCTCACATGTACTGTTCAAAGATTTAGGATGCAATCACCAAATATTCCTAAAAATTGGTAAACATTTATTTTTCTGAACAAGCTTTAAACTCCTAAAGTTTACTTACATGAAGACAACGTGATGTTATGACTTAAAATGGTCTGATGAAAAGTCATGACTTTCCTTCTTTGTTCATCAAGTCCTTAACCGAGGCTGAGTTGTTTACATAGCTGGGTTCAGACTCAATTTTGACTTTCTATCTGTCATTGAATCAAAATTTGCATTCCTAAACACTGGGAACATGTTCCACAACTTCTGCTTAAAGTCATCACTTGTCAAGTACATTTCCAGCTTTTTTGGCACTGTTCTTGTTACTTTTATTTTAGAATCAGGGTAACCTGAAATTATGAATAACATTGTATTGGTAACTTGATATTAATAATAATGTTACCAGGCAAGACATAAACATATGTTTGTTTACTATTCCCCACCAAAGGGTATAGAGTTTGGGTAAAATATTTAAAGCAGTCAACCCATTCCAGCGGCAAGTCTGTATATACCTTCATATTTATATAGGGAGTAACACCCTAAGCAGAAGTAATGTAGGTATTTTTTTTAAATGTTTTTTTTTTCTCCCAAGACAACTCTTTGGAGAATCTGAGGTATAGCACGTAGGACCTACACTTGCGACTCTTTGTGAAACTGATCAACTTCTTTTTTCATCGCTCTTTCTTTGAAAAAAATGTCTTGTCCTTTTACATTCAATATACTTCGTTGTTTGACTTACTTCACCAGTGCCTATTCTACTACCTTTTTCGTACACTAATCCATCTATGTCATTGTTTACTGTATCTGTTCTACACACCATGGTTCTTGTCATCAGAATAATTGACGACCTTGACGGAAATAAGCCTCTACAAGTCACTTGAACTTTATAGTTCTGTCATTTCCATCTTGATTTGTGAACGTCTTAATTGGTTTGAAAGTAAAGTCAGTAAGACTTTCTTTGGTGTCTTCTAGTTTTCCTTTTACTGCTTTAGCTTTGAAAAAAAATCTTTGAAACCAACATTCCTGTCCATCTGTAATTTTCTTAATCCCCCTCCATCTGAATGAAATACTTTTTTGATTCCCTGTTGAAATGCGTATTTATTTGTATACGCTCGTCAAAATTTTGACGGGACGTATTATGGTATACAAATGTCCGGCGTAAACATGTCGCACCTTAACTAGAGAACGACTTATCCAAATTTCATTAATCTTAACAGGGTTGCTCTTATGATGGTCAAACGATCTGTATACTTTTCGGTTGAAATAAGAATGAATTTTTAAAAACATATTGATTCAAATAAAAACAACCCCACAATGAAACAAACTTGCATGTGTGATTTTTAACTTTTAAAATTTGAACTAATCAAATCTTGAAAAGCCTATTCTGGTTGGAAATCATTCACACAGAACAAACAAATCTGGATTAGATACTGCAGTTGAAGTATCTGCCTCTCTTTCTAAATCTGATCTAGAAACGCAACTACATTTGATTTAAACAGTGAGTGCAGCTACACTGTCAGTTACAAGCAGTACTATAATGAACAAGGGATAGGCACAATGACGGATATTCGTTTTTCACCAAAATTTAAATCGCATTTAAATGCGAAATATTTTAATTGTAAGAAAATAAGGAAACGCTCTTATTGTTTTGCGCTGTCGGATGAACTTAAAAAATCACATATACAGAAGGAATAATTGAGATGGAGGAAAGGAGAATCCTACTCAAGTTATAGGTTACTTTGATTCACGAAACCAACATCAGGTTCTATAAGTTATCATTCTTTTACTGACAAAAGTGCTGGTGTCTCATTAAATTGAGAGAAATTGTAAAAATGAGGATTAAAGATGAAAAACGGCGTAAAGCAAATAACAATCAATCTGATGGTACTGTTAACAAGTCTGAATTTTATATCTATAGGAATTATTGTGATTGACTTTTTCATCATCTCAATTCTGTCGAATAGAATACGAGAATCTAATCCCCTACTCTCAAAAAGTTTCTTCACTGGGGAGAAACATCAAAACTTTCTTAGAGTCATCTTCTATTCTTAACAGTACTATAACCCGTAGAGATCGCCATACACCTCCAATTACAGACCATTTTTGCAAGTCATTTTGAAGATACCATCTACATGTTTAATTGTTGTCAGTTATGTGTTGTTATAAGATGCAACATGGCAGGATAGATATGGATCACAGTCAAAAAAAGCCTCTTTAACTCCACAAGGGTGACTGGGGAAAGGAAACGACCGGCAGAAAAACGCTTGCCGAAGAGGGGCGTTCGTTTGGCTGTGCGGGATGTATAAAGTTCGCAGTCACGTCCGATCAGAATGGGGATGTTAAATCCGATGACTCGTGTAAAGAGAATGCCACGCTCTTTATACGTTAAGAACCCTTGCAACAACTCTTTGAGGGGTCCGTAGGTGGCCTGTTGCAAGGCAAAATTTCTGTCCCTATCCGATAAACCCTCATTTTCCAGTGGCAGTCCAAATTTCCCCGACCATCATCCCGGATGGCCTCTATTATGACAAGACTTACTCATTGTATTTATTGTTTACTTGTTCTCGTCCTGAACATGAATGAAATATTTGCCACTGGACGTTAAGCAATCAACAATCAATCAAAAACGGCCTCTATAACTCAACTTGGCATTCTTGACTCAATGCCAACATCTGTTTGATCTTCTTCCTCAGCCTCAGAGACATTCAAATTGTAATCATCAGTAGTGAATACGTAAAAGCATATGTTGTATATTTATAGCTAAGTTCTGTTAGTTAGACTATTAACGCCATGTTTCCTTAGCTGATTTGCTTGATAATGATAGTCTGCTGTTTGACTAGTACTTGTCATCATTCCCTCTAAAAGAGAGAAGGATGTGCGAGGTGGTGTATAAATATTGGATATGGTAGACTTAGGCAAGTAGTGTAGAACGTGCCAATTTTATATGTTAATCTATTGAAAGCTGTGCTTTACATCTGGAGACGGAATAGTACTATTTTATCCAAATTAAATTACCAGTCGTTCCTACAGAAATTGTTACATCAATTCTCTCTCGTTTTCAAAGTCATCATATTTAAGTTTGTCATATATAATAAGAACGCTAATCACTCTACTTATTAACAGTTTTTGATAGATACTTAAAAAAACATTGGTATTATTTGATTTTGTTATTAGACAACGCGTAGGCTTATCAAAATATCAATTGGAACTTAATTCTATTTTCATAATGTTTGCTTAAATAGTCAATGATTTTCTAACAATCATAGTCATATTTTGAAAAAAAAATTATTTGTGAATACCTGGATGTAAGCCATTGGTAAAGCTAAATTAAATCACTGATTTTTGTCTCTGAAAAATAGTTCAGTATCACTCGATTAGCATTTGCCATT